GAATTAGACGGTGCTGCTGTAAGCATGGTCATTAGTTATAAAAGAATATTCTACATACTAGATTTGCGTGAAGTTGTGTAAAAATTATCTCGTTTTCAGAATGGTTGGGACGTAAACGAAATGTTTCGTAAAAATGAACAAGACTATGGAGTTCAAACGACATTTGAGCCTTCCTTGGTTGGTTACACTTTACAACTTCAACGTAAGGATACAAAGGATTATAAGGAACAAGAGCAAAAAGCTACCGAGATAGCAAACGAGATCGAATCTCAACCAAACCACAAAGCTAGATTAGAATTAGAAAATGGTGATGAAGAGGAAAGATTTGCAGCTGTGGTGAACTTTGAATTATATTTCACAATTTTTCCTTTTCACCTTTTCTGATTTGTATTATTCATTGCTATTCAATTTTAGACGAGACCTGCTGAAGGAAAATATATTCCGCCACCGTTAAAAAAGAAAAATGGCAACACTAATAAACTGATGAGATCCAATGAGCCTCCATCTTCACCAGGAACCACAAATAATAAGAATGTCTACAGTCAACCACCTCCGTCCACGGTTAATGTAAATGTCTCACAGCAGAGTATGCCAGTTGGGGTACAAGCTGCTCATACTTCGGTGCAACATCCAGTATCCTTAAATATGAACATGCCGCCCAACGGAGTGGTTGTCACATACAATAATCCACCGCCGCCATTTGTGCCTCCACCGACGACGCAGTCGCAACAAGGTTTGTTATTTGTTTGTACCCGCTTGCACTTTCTGAAAAAAATTAGAATTCAATGAGAAGGGCTACAATTCGGCATTTTTACTCTGCTCTATGTTAGGAGACTACAGTTTCGTAAATCTATCTCCCATGGTTAATCTTTTTATACAATAAATATTTTCAGAAAATGAGCAAATGCTTTCTATATAGCAAACGATACAACAGAAGTATAATAATTGTATAGTAGCTTTTTATGAAAGGCGATCGTATGATAATGTATCTTTTTTTATATGTAATATAGTTTTTTCCGATATAGTGATCCAACAGAATCAACCGCAAGTTACCCCTTCGATTACGCAAGTAGGCTTTTCGCCGCAATCATCGCTACAACAACAACACTCACCACAACAACCGCAACAACAGACACCTCCAAATAAAATAAATACAGAGAAACGTGAGCGACCTGGTAGACAACAGGTTTATCAAGTTGATAAAGCACCACCAGCGCCATTTTCTCAATCAAACGTTGCAACTTCTCATCAACAGCAACAGTCTTCACATCAGCAACATACGTCAATGTCGCAACAAAATTCTGTAGAAGGGCAAATAGTAATACACAAGTCAGACCATAGAAAGGTATGACGTATATTCTCGTATAAATATTTTGTTATTTTTCTTTTAAATTACAGGGCAATTCTGGTGTATACTTACAAATTTTACTTTAAGGTCCCAACATCACGTGGAAGAGAAGAACAGCATTCGGAACTAAGACAATTCGCTGCGGAATTCAAATTGTCAGAATCGCAAGGACCTCCAGATACATCTCAAATTTCCAGAAAACATCAACATCAACAAGATGTGCATTCCGCTACTTCGATAAATCAGCCACATCATCAAGGTTCTCATCAACATACAAGTCCACAGCAGCAATCGCAGCAACAGTCATCTACGCAGCAACACACTAGTCCTCATCAGCAACA